CCCAGGACCCCATCCCACCGGCTTGTGAGTTCTGCTCTGCTGTGGCCGTCACAGCATCCCATCCACTCCGTGATACGCCCCACTTCCCCCAGCCTTCCCCGGACCAAAGAGTGACAGAAAAACCAGGGGTGCAGCCCGGATGCTAATCACCTGTCTGGCACAGCAGTGTGCACAACCCACGTGTGTGTAAATACACTCCTGGCCCCTGTGGCTCACCTCTTCTATAGCGGCAGAGGCTAGCAGGCCTCAGGTCTGCCTGTGGGAGGAACCCACCTCCTGTTGCTTTCTGATCTTTTAGTTTATGTATTTCTGACCATCATCTATGATATCCCGTGGTGCTTTAGCAGGACCCTACCGTAAGCATCTAGTGGTAAGATGGGAGGCCGAACATTTCTTGCCAGGTGTGCAGATACCCGATACATGGGGTGGCCGTTGAATTTTTTTTTTGTTTTTGTTAGTGACGGTCTACACAGTCTACAGGGTCTCACTACGTAGATCGGACTCATAGTGATTCACCTGTGTTCAGCCTCCCAAAAAGCTGGCATTACAGGCACGTGCCACCATGCCCAGTCTCAATCACCATCTCAGCATGCCCCAGGGGTGGGGCCAGCATGGCACAGCACACCGGGGACCAAACCCCCGCTGCTGTGTCTGCCTAAGCAGGCGCTTTAATCCGCGGAGCTATTTGGCCAGTCCGGGGTGGCCATTTAAATGTGAATTTTGCATATACAATAATTTTCTAGTATAATTCTGTCCCCTTGGGATATTCTCATACTGAAAACAAAACAAGCATTTGTTTATCTGAAATATACCCTTATTTATTTATTTGCAGTACTGGGGATCAAACTCGGGAACTTAATCAGCAGTCATGGATTTGTATTTGCAAAGTCTGGTGACCCTGAGAGTGGCAAACAAATCCAGAGAGCAGAGATTTGGTGAAAAAGGGCCCTTCCTCCTTCATCACTGTTGACCTTAAAGATACCTCAAGGACATAAGCATGGTAGGCATCTATCAGGGTGCACAGCTGTGTCACTGCTGTTACTCTGTCCCCCTCTCTGTCCCCCTTTCTCTGCAGGAAGCTTAAGTTTCTCAATTTGCTGATTTTACTGTGACAAGTCATACATTTATAGCTGGTAGCATGGGCTGAACTGTGACCCTCCTTTAATTCACATGTTGATGTCCTCCTGATGCCCAGAACTCTCAAATGTGACCTAATTTGGAAAGAGGGTTTTTTGCAGATGTCATTAGTTAAGTCCAGGCGTTGGTAGAGTAGGGCAGTTTGGACAGAGAGGTTGACGTGAGGTCACTGGAGGGCTTCCACGAGCCACGGCAGCACCAGAAGAGCCATGGCCTGAACAGAGCCTCTCCGAGGCTCCCAGCTGTGGGGCTGAGTCTGGCATGCTCCTTACACCAGCCCTAGGAGAGCAGAAGGGGAGCAGGAACAGCAGGAAAAAGGGGAGTCATAGCAAGACAAAGCAGCCTCAGAAGAGCCTCAAGGCCAACGTCACAACAGCTTTGCACCTGAGAACCCGAGGCGCTCAGCTGAGGAAGATGCAGGCAGGTAGAAGCGACAGGCCACTTCGTATGAAAGCAGCTCCTGTGCTACTAAAATTCAATTTTAAACTGAGTTAAACAAACTGCACACTTAAGGAAGAAACCCCAGAGTCAGAATTTACCCTGGGTATACAAAAAAGGACACATTTCTGAGCATTTCAGGCTCTAAGCCGACTTCCAAATCACAGCCTTAACATACCTCTTAAAAGTGTTGTTTGTTTTTTTCCCATGAAAAATATGCTTTCCTCTAGTTCTTACAAACTAAACATTGCCATATTAGGTTGTTGATTAAGGAGCTCCAAACAAAATTAGGCAGGCTCTTCTGGTCTTATTGTCTTTCTTGACTATTTGCTTGTCATTTTTCAAATAACCCCAAATGGCAAGATTCTAACAACAGACTACTACTACATTTTCTTCTTCTAACGTACCTGAACCCCCTCAACCTGGCATGGATTCATGCAGCCTATGTAGGCCCTCTCCAGGCCTGCAGCAGGACTCCAGGGCCAGCTTCCAGCAGCCTCCCAGACACAGGCGGCCCTGGCACTCTGGGCACGTGGGCCAGAACCCCGCCTTGGGCCTGCCCACGGCCCGACCTCCTTGCAGACGTTCGCAGACAGCGCCCTGCGCCAGAGGTGTCCTTCTGCCAGATCCTTCCCTTTGCCCGCCTCGCAACCCTCCCTGAGCCCCGCTGTGCAAAAGCTTCTGGGAAATTTCCTCCTTGCCCTTTAGCTTTGCTACTCACACAGCCTTCTGTACCTCCTTCACCACCCTAGTCCATTACAGCATAATTATCTACTGTTTATCTGCCTGTTACCCTTTCCTCCCCATGTTACTTCCCACCCAGGCCTAATCCACTACAGGCACGGATACATCTGTCTAGGTTGACCAATGAATTGGTTAGACAGATAACCACAGCCATGCATCTGGGAGCTGGAGGGCAATTCTTCATGCCCAGAGGCTCCGCACGGCCCGGGAGGCAGAGTGCAGCCTGTGCCTCCCATTCTGCTGAGACAAGTGTTAGGGATTGATTCCTCCACCGTCTCTGGGAGGGCCCTTCCTCTGACACGAATGCACTGGCCACACGGACATCACCTGCCATGGCTCCCAGGCCCATAGCTTTGCACCACAAAATTCTTTCTTTGGTACAGGGTCTTTTTTTTTTGCGGTACCAGGGATTGAATTCAGGACCTTGCACTTGCCAGGCAGGCTCTTATTCTACTGAGCTATCTCCCTGGCCCCTTGCACCATAAAATTTTAATGCAGGGCTGGGCTACCAGCTGGTATTCCATATAAGCTGATATAAATAGAAATTTAATGCAAATATCAACACATTATTTGATAGCAGGACATCTTTTAAATTTATGAACTGGCATTCTGACATTAAGAGACAGAGGGGGAAAAAAGAGAAAAAAGCCTATGTGCTTTGCCTTTACAAAAATACTTCAAAAGCCTAGAATTTATGGGTGGTGAGAATCAGCTAATGAAGGCATTCTGGCAATGCAAACACAGGACCTTTAGCGTGCACATGCTACGGCTCAGAAATTCTAACAGGAATTTATCCTGACAAAACAATCACGAATGAGTGAAGACCTGGAGCCATGAGACTGCGCTCCACACTGTACAGCAGGAACTAGAACATCCAACAGCGCCAAGGTGACTTGCAGTGTCTCTACTGAAACCTCTCAACATTTTCATGTCTTGCTGGACAGAACAATAATTAATGGCATGAGGAAAAGCCCATCCTATGCTAATGAAGAAAAGTGTTACAAATAATTACGCCAGGGCTTGTTGGGTAGTGGGGTCATGTGTGATGTTCTATCGTATGTTTTTCTGTATTTTATATATCTTATTTAAGACTTTTATACAGTTTACATAATTATTTTTTAAATGTTTATTTAAAAATAAATTCTTAACAGTTCCTATGGGACAAACAGCACATGATGTGGACCAGGTGTGTCAAATCAGAGACAGTGAGGAGCGGTAGCTGCTGAGGGAAGAACGGAGGGTGGGACGGGGACCTGCTGTCTGTGGCTACAGTTCTCAGGATGGAAGAAGTCTAGAGAGGGACAGCAGCACAGTGTGAATGTACCCAAAGCCCCTGCGATACAATCTTAAAAACAGCTGTGATGATAAGCCTTCGGCTGGGCACAGTGGGATGCAGCTGGAGTCCTAGCTACTTGGGAAGCCGAGGCGGGCCTGCCTGAGCCCCGCAGTTCTGGGCCAGCCTGGGTAACGTAGCAATGCCCCACTTCAAAATAGAAAAGTGACAGCATACATCCAACATTAAATTAAATCTTTATTTTTTGAGATGGGGACTTGCTGGCCTGCCCAGGCTGCATGACACCCCAGTAAGCTAGGAGTACAATCTATGTCACAGGTCCAGCTGTTTTAACACAATTAAAAACAGTATTTTAAAAAAATCACTAAAGTGGCTGCTTCAACAAAGCAGTCAGGCTCAGGTTGCTGTGGTTCGATCCCCACAACTCAAGCCAGCCAAACCTGCCCTGAAGGCATTCGGAGCAAAAAAAATAAAAAAATAAAAAAATCACTAAAGTATAAGTACAGCTGGATCTATAGATTATTTTAGGGTTTTCAAGTTACAAGAATAAAAGAGGCCTAACTGTGACTTTGGGCCACATGACACAGAGCAGCAGAATTCCCTGGCCCCACCGGCACTGGAGTGCACCAGGGCGTGAGCAGGCAAAAGGGGCGATGCCTGGCTCTGGCCAGGGTGGACCCAAGAACCCCAGGGCTGCAGGCACACAGCCCACGGGTGCCCACAGCACTCTGTTTACAACCAGCTGTAAGGCGCAGCAGCTCCCCGTTCAGGCACATCCTTTCTCTCCCAGGCTCAGCCCGGCCCTGCAGCTCTCTCCCACCTGCCCGGCCCTGCACCTGCCTGGCCCTGCAGCTCCTGAGCTAGAAACTGCTCAGCATAAGCGTGGGCTGCCTGGTACCAGGCCAGCGCGCTGCAGCCTCGGGAAATACTCAGACACGCAGGGCAGCTCGTGATGCAGCCGCAGGGGCAGCGGCCCTCAACACACACAGCTGGGCCCGGGCCCGCTCCTGATCCGGACTTGGCGAGGGGGCAGCAGTGACGCCAGGCCACATACCCAGGCACCGTCGAGGGCAGCACCCTGCTCACTCTCCTCTTGAAACATGCACAAAGGAGACCGAGTTCTTAAGAAGAAGTCAACAGACACAGTGCCCGCAGTCCTGCCCCCAACAGAAGCCAAAGCGGGATGCTCTGGGCACAGGCAGCAGGGTTTTGCTGCAGTTGGAAAGCAGAGGAACGTCTCCAGCTGATGCCACGATGGGTCACTGCTGCAGTGGGGAGGATGTGAAGCCCAGGTGCGAACCTAACCAGCCCCCTGTACAGGGCAGAAGGCGCTCCCAAGACCTGGGGTGCGGGGTGCGGGAGGGGCGGGGACCAGCACTTCTCTTACCTGCTGTAGGCACGCTAACATTATACTGAGGTAAAATAAATAGGAAGGCGGTCTTGGCTGTGACCTGTAAAACAAGGGAAAAGTTCCAGTTTAACTTCTGAGCCATGTGGAGCCACCTACCGCTGCGTGCCCAGCCCTCCTGCGTCTCGGATGCACACTGCTCGCTCGGAGGAGGTCACCTGATGCAGAGTTTTTGTTCCATTTTTCTTTACCAAAACAAAACAAAGCAAAGCAAAACAAGACACTTCGGGTTCCCAAGTATTTGGTCCTAAAGTACCTGCATTTACCACAGATGACCAGAAGCAGGCTGGGCTTGGTCGGCCAGGGCTCCAAGCAAGGGACTGAAATCTGCCCGCCATCCATGCACTTAGGTCATTCTTGAGTTTACAGGGCCAGAGCTGCACTCCCAGCTATGGGAGACAAAGCCACAGCTCCCTGGAGTGGAGGACTGGCTGGCTGGGTTTCCCTAGCACTTTAGGCACTGCGTATCGGTCAGCAGCACTAAAGGCCTAAACCTCAGCTTCTAGGATAGAAAATTCTAGTTGCTAATTTTGTTATCTGTTCAACAGATGAACATGGGACAACATGGCTTGCCTATTTTGAAAGCTACCTTTAAAATTTAGTTATGCTGCAGGAAAGGCCACGGCTGTCACCTGGTTATTAATAGCCCAATCAGTACTATGACAGTTTCACAAGTGGGGAAATCAACAAAATGGAGGGCTTGAAGCTTGGGCTCAATAGTCAGCTGCGTGGGTCGGAAAGCCGGCCCTGCTGTCACGTGCCTGCGAGCCAACCACTTCACACCACCGAGTGTCTGCACCCTGTCCATAAACCGGGGCCAGCTGACGGACCTCAGCTGCTCGGGCGCTGTGGACTGGGGTGGCAACGGCAGCTGTTAGATGCTGTTTACAACACCCCACAAGTACAGCTGGGCTGAGGTCACCACCCACACTGCTCTGAGAGGTGTCCCAGGGCTGGGGGAGGGAGGTGCCTTCCCAGGTGGCCTCAGGGGCGACCGCTCTTCTCTACACAGAGGTCAGCAGGAAGCCGTAGGCTGGGGAGGTGTAAATATCGCTCTGGACACTCCATAAGAGGTGACAGTCCTCTGCTTACCTGCAGAGACGACCCTCTGCTTCGAGGTCAAAGGCTCTCCCTGCCCAACAAGACCTGGACTCAAACGCTGTGAGGTGTTATGTACCTCTCCCAGGCAGTGAGGCCTGAGGAGCCTTTCTCTGTATTCGTGCCCATCCCTTAAACACGTTCAACCAAGTGTGAGGAGCAGCTCTGGAACTCGAAACACTACCTACGCACACAGGTCTACAACCTTCGGGCCCGTGTTCTTAAGACCTTTCAAAGCTGCCCCGTGTTCTGCTCACCGTAGCCTCGGGGCTCTGGGCCCCCCAATTTGCATCCTCCTCCCCCTCTCAATCCATCAATCAAGCTGAATCTCCCTGCTCCTTCCTGGCCCAGTTCCCTAGGGGCCTCCTCTTCCACAGCTTCCAGGTGCTCCAGGAAATAGCTCGTCACTGGAAGCACGGGCCACCCTTCTGCCGGGTGTTTCCACAGAGCTGCAGATGGCTCTCCCCGAGCCGCCACCTCCTTCATCTGCCTCTTTATCTTCATGCAGCCCCTCAAGGAGCTAACTAGGTGCACACAGTACGTGCTCAGCACCTGCTCACTGAGAAAGACGGGAAACAAAGTCAGCTTCACAGAACTACTTGCCCCCACTCCAGGGGCAGTTGTCCCCAGTGCTGTCTGCTGACACCAACAACTTTTCTTGGACACCCATCCGGCTGTTACACTCGCGTGACCCAGCCCCCCCACGAAGCCCCTCCTGGCCACAGCTGCACCCTGGCCTTCCTCCCCACACTCTGCTCCGGTGGCCACCCTGGACTCAAGCCCCTAACTGCACTGTCTGCATTACACTTTGAGGTCACACTTTGTGTTTAAGGCTAAAATTCCCGTGAGCATGGGCCAGAGGAAGGGCTGGAAGCCAGAGAACGGAAGGGGGCGACAGGCAGGCAAAGAGGAAATGTTCACCGAACACTATACAAACCCCTTGCAGACACCTCTCCTTTTTTAAATGTTATTAATTTTATTGAGAAACAAATAGCAATGAGACAGTTTCAAAACAGCTTAGTAGAACAGTTACAATAATTAATACATTGCATATTGTGGTCTTCGTAGAAGTTATTCATAGTACAAGATGCAGACATGATATCCTGTCCAAACACTATTAGTACAAATCTTCTCATTAAGGAGAGAAGATACAGTCGTAAGTGAAATAAACCAGATCCACATGTGTAAATATCGTACGGTCTCCCTAGTGTAAGAACTCAAAAGAAGAAATAAAAACAGAAAGTTGTAACACAATTAAAAGTAAGAACTTAATTAAAAGGAAAGCGAGACTGTGGGACTAGTTGGGCGAGACACCTCTCCCCTGGCCCCCCTCCAGAGGCGCGTCTGCTCTTCAGGGCCGGGTGGGGGTTCCCCGCGGGCTGCACCTACCTGACTGCTGCTTTCCCCGTCTCACACACAGCACAAGGTTCCTGGGAAACGCAGCGCCCCAAAAGTCTAAGAGCACAGGCTGTGTGTGGCTCCCTGCGGTGCCCACCTCCTTCCAGGAGGATGAAGGACAAGACCCTTCTGCCAGGACAGAGCCTGGCCGGTAGGCACCCTCTCCTGAGCTCTGCCCTGCTGGCAAGGGGCAGAGAAAGTGCTGCTCAGGGCAGGAGCCTAGAAGCCCCCTGTGACTCCTGCAGTCCTGGCTTGGAGCACGCTGGGGTCAGCAGCCTCCCGCCAGCTGCGAGTGCCAGAAGCCTCCTAGATGGCCAGCATCCCTCTCTAAGGAACATTACCCAACATCGGAGTGGAGCATGCAGCCTCAGCTTCGATGAGCATCCCTAAGACGTCTATGCCAGGGTCGCAGTGCAACCACAGCTCTGGCGCTCCTCAAGGAGCCAGGAGGGGAAGCACTGCCTTTCTGTTTTAAAGGAAGAGACAGATTCGGTTCGAGGGCTTGCATACACTCTCGCTTTATAGCGCTGCACACAGTACACAGCTAATTTTCATCGTGCGTGGCAGGTACGGTCCATGCGTCACTGCAAGCCTGAACCAGAAGAGCGCCGAGCCCTACATCTAGGAGTAATACAAGCCTAAGTTCCTTCAAGCCTCTGGTCACCTTTATGCAATGCACAACCTTGCGCTGTGCACACTTCTATCCAAAGACACTTCATATTTAATACACGCTGCTGACTCCTTAACACTGACTCATGACAAGAGGCTATGTGACAAACCGCTCGGCCTAACAAGCACACCTACCAAACGCTGTCTCCGCAGGGCACACGGCAGCCTTCCAGCGCTCACCGCAGAACACTAGGCAGCACTTCAGCACTACACTTAGAGATCGGAGTAGAAGCGTGAAATCTCGCCAGGGAGACAGCTCAGCGGCATAAGTGCCTGCCTAGCAAGTTCAAGGTCCTGAGTTCAGTCCCTGGTGCAAAAACAAACAAAAGTGAAATCTTAACAAAAGGCACAAATGTGAGCTGGGCATGGTGCCACAAGCCTATAATCCTAGCACTGGGGAGTCTGAGGCAGGAGGATCCTTGTGATTTTGAGATCAGCCTAGGCTACAAAGTGAGTTCAAGACCAACCTGACTCTATCTCAAAAAGATTAAGAAAGAAAGAAAAAAACACCACCACGAATGTGGAAAAAAAAAGTGGCACTAAACAGACTGTGAAAATGACACTTACTGGCCAGCCAAATAGCTCAGCGGATTAAAGCACCTGCTTAAGCAGAGTGTAACAGCTGGAGTTTGATCCCCGGGGCACGCTGAGACTAGGCTTGGTGCCATGTGCCTGTAATCCCAGAGCTTGGAAGGCTGAAAACAGGAGAATTACAAGTCTGACCTACGTAGTGGCCCTGTAGACTCTGTACCAAATACATACAAAAAAGAAAACGAGCCTTATTTACAGCATGTGTGCTGGAACAGGAAGACAAAGCCTCACCTCCTTCCAGCCTAGCCAGGAGCACTCACGTCATGATACCCCAAGCTTTTGTCCCTGCAAGTACATTGAGAGTGGCCACAACACCAGGTATTGATCCAGGTATTGATTTGAGAGGTCACAGATAAATTCTAGCAAGCTAGCAAATTCTCAGGAATGACATCCCCAAATAAGGAGGACTGAAGGGATTAGGGCAAGCCCGAATGCCCGTTCCGGGAGGGCCAAGATCTTCAACAGCTTTACTGAGGCACAGTTTACACGCCATACAACCCTCCCATCTTGCGTGACAAGTCTCAGGGAGGGCCCTACCTTCCTTCTTAACCTGTCTCTTCCTTTATGGGCTGCAGGAGGAAGAGGAGCTTAGCTGCCTCATGCAGCAGCACACAGCCTCATGTGCACAGAAGCCAGAGCCGACTCAGACTCACGGGGCTCCCGGACGCAGCAGGTGGCAGGGAAGCGGGCAGCCGGCTCAGCCCGGCCCCTCAGCCGGCCCTCCCCACGGCAGCTCCTGTGCACCTTAGCTCTCCCTGCTCCATCCCGGGGCCGGCCTGTCATGGGTTATCTCACAGATATTCATTTGATGAACTCATGCTGAAAGCAGCCATAACAGGCGGTAACTGCAGATGAATGCTGAACACGTCTTATGGACACGAGTCTAAGAGAGCAGGACCAGGACCTTGAATTAAGGCGAAAGCCTCGCACTCCGCACTTTTCCACCCTGTCCCCCTGGCCAGGCAGTGGGAGCCAGTGCCATCATGTGTGTCTCTGATCCGGCGACTCGGCTCACACTCTGCCGCACCTCAGCCAGATGCTGCCAGCTTCTGTGCATAGATGCAAACACTGCACTTGGGGCGCAGAGAAGTAAGGTGGCCTTCAAGACCTCACGGCGGATGAGCACAAAAGGCAGCAGCCAACATGGTTTTATCAGACTTGTCCCCAAAACAAATCTAGTGCATGCGTAATACGGCACAAGATACAGAACAGTAACAAAACGGAAGCACGAGAGGATCACAAGGAACAGCAAGAACAAAACCCGTATCAAAGGCGAAGATGAGGCTG